AAAAAAAAAAAAAAAAAAAAAAAAAAAAAGTATGCTGAAAAAATTTTAAAATGACTTGATTTTATAATAAAATTGGGCCAACCAGCTGGGTGTGGTGGTGCACGTATGTAACCCCAGCACTTGGGAAGCTGAGGCAGGAGGATCACTGTAAGTTCGAGACCAGCCTGGGCTACATAGTGAGTTCAGGGCCAGCCTGAACTACAAAGGGAGACCTTGCCTCAAAAAAAATAAGAAGGTTCAACTAAATTTAGTGCATGAATCAAATTCATAAGAATATCTTGCGGGACAATAGATTTAGCCCAGTGGTTCCAGCACCTGCCTTGCAAGCCCAAATACCTGAGCTCAATCCCCGGTACTATGTTTAACCCTTCCTACCTAGGCCTGGGATGACTACTGAGAGAGCCATATTGGTCACAGCCTTCAGGCCAGAGGTTTCCAACTCTTTTGGGGGTGGGGGGGAGGTACCAGGGATGGAACTTGGGACCTTGCTCTTGCAAGGCAGGCGGCGGCACCATTGCGCTAAATCCCCTGCCCGGTTCCCAACTCTTTACCAGACATACCTCTTGATTAGTATTTCTCTGTGCTTCAGGCCTCTGTAGTAGAACTATGTCCTGGTGGTTTGTGTGCCCGTAATACATATTTAAGTTATTTCCCCATTTTTTTTCATTATCAGATGTATACACACACACACACACGACAATCAGCACTTCTGATCAACAGGTTACATCAATATTACTACACTGATATGATGAGCTTCTAACCTAAAATCTACATGGTATGCTAAAAAAAAAAAACAGGAGGTTTAATTTAAAAATTATAATAAAAGATATATTTCCACTAATTCAAACACAATTACCCCATCATTTTTGTTGTTGGTGGTGGTGGGTTGTTTTTTTTTTTGTTTGTATGTTTGTTTTTTTGCAGTACCAGGGATTGAACTCAGGACCTTGCGCTTGCCAGGCAGGCACAGGAACAACTGAGCTACATCCCCAGGTGACTCCATCATTCTTATCACTTTCTGAAGTAGTTTTGGAAGTTCTTTTTTGTATGATTAGTTGCACTGTCATGGCTGCCTGAATATCTTGAATTTCTTCAAAATGTTTACCTTCCATGGTCATTTTGACTTTGAGGAAGAGCAAAAAGTTGCATGGTGCCAGATCTCATGTAAGGGAAGGCTGAGGACATGCCATAATATTTTTATAAGCCTGCCTTTCTGCTGGATGGAACTCAGCAACAGAACTCATCCTTTTAACCACACGTTATAAAGATACTCATGAAAGATTTCCAGAACTACTTTAGAACGAGGCAAGAAAAACCGGATGAGTGTCTGAAATGAGAGGGAGTATTCCTGAGGGGATTCATGGAAACGTCCTTTTTTTTTTGGTACCAGGGATCCAACTCAGGACCTTGTGCTTGCAAGGCAGGTGGCAGCACCACTGAGCTAAATCCCCAGCCATGGCAATGTGTCTTTTATTGAAACAAATTTTTAAAATTTACACATACATTATGTATTTTGGTCACACCATGCATGTTCTTCATAATCTGTACAACCTTCTCAAGAGAAAATGCTTTTCTGAAATTTTAGGAATTTAGAGATAGCCCCTTCCCACAACCACATTTGAAGATCATCAGGAATCAAGAACTGTGGACTAGGAACCCACTGCTTCATAAGAGTAAGGCGAAGGACACCAAACAGATAAGTATTTGCCACTGGTAGTATAGGGTCTGTGCTTTCAAAAGCTATAAATTAGTTCAGAAACTGTTCACATTCATACTAAGTACCTCCAGACACATTTTTTTGAGAAGGAACCTGACAAGTTTCCCATGTGTTAACGCCTGATTCTTTCCTTCCTATAAAAAGGGGACATTATGGGTTTAGGAAGTTTTGTTTCTTCCAAAGCTTTGGTTGCAGCTAAATGTTTGGCTTTTAAGTACTACTTCCTTCACCTTGCCAGTTTTGACCTCCAAGTGTTCGCTGTACTGTCAACACCCACAATGGAAAAGTATGAATTTTCAATTCCAGAAACCTGATGTTAACTGTAACGTCACTCGGACCTTGAACGCTTTTTATGGTTATCATTTTAAAAGTCTGGTCACTATCTTAATAATTTATTCCAAGCCTTTTTCCTTTTATTAATATCTTCATAAGTAGAAAATTTTTTTCTAGTATCCTCTGATTAGCATTCAGTGGCACTCCATGAAAAATTAACTCTGCAATATGGGGCAGGTACATGTTGTTATGTTAAAATAATAAACTCATTTAGAATATATCGAAACATCTACTGTCTTCCAATTACTTCTCATAGAAAAAATTTCTCAAAGTTGATTCAGAAACATTGTAGGATCTCATGCAAATTAAGACAGGGCATATGAGAACTCTTGTCTGGAAATATAATCCTAGTAGACAAAACTTGAGAAAATCTGACAATATGAGTCAGGTTTTCCAATGTTACCTTCTATTCTCTTAAGACTGTACTATTTAGACTCTGCCTAATTTTTTTCTCAACACATGCTGATGAAGGCCAGACTTCCTTCCTTTATAAATAAAGGTAACCTGAGTATACATCACCATTCTTAAAATATTTCATTAAAATTCCATTACTACTAAGCTAACATTCTGTCAAAACTTGATAACCTACTGCCACACAGTGATTCTTAAAGTCTGGCTGCATCTGAAGAAGCAAGTAAGAAGCCTGAGAAAGCAGAAATGCCCAAATGTGACCAAACAGTACCAGGGGCCTCCATACCAGGCTTGTGCATGTTTAGTAAGCTCCAAAACTGATTCTAACACACAAAGTTTTGAAACCATTACTTAGAGATTCGGCAAAATCAAACAGAGCTTTCATTTTTCTGATTTTATCACTAGATATCACTTTATCTCATTTATTTAAAAAGTTACAGTGCAAACACTGGCGTAGATATGTCTTGATCATTTAAATCTGGTGCCTAAGCAGAAAGAGGGGAGGTTGCCTCCATAGCTAATTTTTCCCGTAGTTCTTAACGTCAGGTTTCTCTCAGTGCACAGCTTCCACTAACAGGGAAACAAAAAATCCTTCATTCCCACTGAAACAGTAGGGATTGCATATACATGTTCTGTAGTTCATGAGGTTACACATTTAAGTACCAAATAATAGGAACTTAAAACCCAGGCTAGCCTGAGAGGTCAAAGGCAGGCACCTGCAATACAGTGCCATATCTGGGTCATTCTGCGATTATTTCACAGAAAGATGCTGAAGGGGAAAATGATGAAAAGCAAAAGCGCTTCATCTCATGAAGAGTCTTGCTTTTTCCAGGACCCTCCCCATCCTGTGCATGGCCATTTTGCTGGCATCCTACATAGAAGGTTAGCAGCAAAGTTATAATCTTGGTTTTGATAGAATTTAAGGTACACAAGACCTCTGATTTTTAGAAAGAATAAGCCAGCAGTCACCCAGAAGAGAAAAGCTTCTCTTTGAATAACTTGTAGGTATAAAAAGAAAATGCAATTACAGATGAACACACAGTCAATCTATCGAAAATGCTTGGTAAAAAGTACAGATTTCAGAAAATTACCAAAACAGCTATTAATTAAGGGAATCCCAAAGATAAGGTCTGGGTGAAAAAAAACCTTTAGAGGAAAC